TTCACTTTCACCCAAGAGCCTGCAGGAGTCATGGGTGGGGTGTGTGGGGAGGGGGGTGCGCTCTGCCATGAGGAAGTTTGGCTTAAAGACACGTCCCAGAGGCGTTTCTGGTCCCCACCTGTCGTTTTGCTCCTCAGCATGGCTTCATAAAAACACTGCAGGATTTCTCAAACATGCATGAATGAGTCAGAGCAAGGCTTTGGGCATGTTTTTTATGAGAGCATAACATTATAACATGATATAAAAATCAAAAATGTTGATTTTATATGATATTGCCCCTTTAAAATATTGGGTCTTTGTCCACATGAAAATACAAGTTTAGCATTAAAAATGATTTCACTTTGGAAATCATTGTAAGGATCTGTCCTTTTTTCTTCTTTTTTTATTAATGACCCTAGTTATTTGTTCCTTATAGATTTGTGTTTCAGTTTTTTTCTCGGTTTCCTCTGTGTCATCAACTAATTTGTTTCTAGTTGTCGTCATGCCTAGTTGTCCTTTCCATACCACCGCTCAGTTATCATGTCTTCATCAGGATGGCATTGTGGTTTGTGTCTCCTATGATTTCTTTTGTGTCTCATTGAGTTGTTTTATCTTGTCATGTCAGCCTTTTGTTTTTACTAAATCTTTAGTTCTTTCGTTTCAATCTGCATTCCTGAGTTATACCTCTGCAAAATGTGGCCCTCATTTTCGAAAAAAATAAAATAAAATAAAAAACTGTTTAGGGGTCCAGAAACACTGTTTCCATGTGGATGCAAGGTTGAAATGACAAAAAGAGACTCTTGTGTATTGTTCACAAAAAACCTGTTCCCATGTGGACAGGGCTTATGAATGGTGGAAGTGATAGGGCTGATGACGGCTTGTTTTTCTCTTGGGACAAAAACACAAACAAATGAAGGGTCTATAATATGACCGAATGAGCTGATGTGAAGACACCAGGGTGTAGCTTTGCCCTGAGCAGAGAAACCAAGGGTCCTTTGTGAAGGTCATGTGTGTGGGTGTCGCACATAATCTAAGCTAGACACCACCTAAACACAAGAAACTTCTTCTCCATCATGAATGTGATTATTTGTGTTTGGGTGAATGTATTTATAGCTTTTTTATTTCATGTATTAGTCTGTGACCATTAGCCTTAAGATATTGTTTTGCACAAACGGGGTATTTGGCTTTAGCTGCATCCATGGCAACCATCTAATTCCTTACGTCAGTAGTGGGTAATGTATTGAATTTGTGAGAATAATGAAATTTGGCTGATCAGATTATGCAAAAAACATCTGAATCATCTGGTGAGAGTGCTGGCGGAGCTGCACACAGACAGGAAATGAGGAAATGCCACAGAGACAGATGGGAGTGGAGGAGTTTGGACCATTTGTCATGGATTTGCAGGTGAATACAAGAAAAGAGTGCAGCTTAGGTTTGTGCCCTGGAGCATGAATCATAGTGAGCATTATTTATGCTGCTTTACATAGTGTAATGTCATGGATTATAGACGGTCCAATTAAAGGCAGCCTGGACACAAATCAAATTGCTACACAAGTAATTAAAATAACAGCATTTTTTAAAAACCTGCATCCAAAACCAGTTAATTTAAAAGCCAATAAAAAGGCTAACTCACTTCCCACTGATTGACTCAGCCATGCAGCAATTACTGTGTTCCACAGATTTCAGCTCAGCATACTCCAGGCTGCCTTTGTAAGTCATACATAAGTAAGCAGGGTACTAATTAATACTCACACACTGATCCTCTGTTTATTTGACAACACAATAACTGTTGTTTAAGCTAAATCTTTTAGCAACTTTTTAGGTCAAAGTTTGCCGTGATAGTCGTCACATATTTACAGCAAGCACCTCAAATTCACTGAAAGATTTTTAACATGAAGTCAGTCACCATGTGGCTGGGTAGGCAGGTCTGACATGGATGCTTTTACTAATGAATGTTGGGATTCTTATCTCTGACGCAGTTTAACTCCTCAGTTCCTGGTGTGCATCATGCTTCACTTGTATTCATGCTACTTAAATGTTCTCAGCGTTAATGAGAAGAACAAAAATAGCAAAAGCCATTGCAGTATTTTACGAAGTAATGGATTTATTTAATGATAAAGGTCTGTTTATATTATATAATGCAATAATTTTTCCACACTTGATCTACTTTGATGTTTGGGGAAAATCGTGCAAAACAATTACAAACCCTATTTTTGTTTTACAAAAAAGAGCTGTAAGAATTATCACACGTTACAGTCACCCATGAAATTCATTGTTCCATCAGTTGAAGTTATTGAAATTCTATGATTTGGTTAATTATGGTATTTTATCAATTATGTATAGGGCTCATAAAAATACATTATCTTCAAACATTCAATTACACTTTGTTAAAAGAGAGAGACGTTATAATGTCAAAGGGATAGAGATGTTTGTTAAACCCAAATTTAGAACCAATTTAAAGGAACAGAGTACTTTAGTCCAGGGTTTAAGATTATGGAATAATCTGGAAGATGACACTAAAAATGCCAGATCAATGAGTATATTTAAGAGAATGATTGATTTGCTGGAGAAATATGTTAATGTATGAATTGCTGTTCAAGGAATTAAAC